CACACACACACACAAATACAGATACATGAGGAGAAAGAGCGAGTGAAAAAAAACCCAGGACCCAGAATTGAGCCCTGCGGAACACCTGGCCCACTGGGGACGGCTGCCGCCTGCAACCTCTTTGTTTCATGGGTGGGGGATTGGCTTGACTCAGACAATGAGACGAATTATGTTAAAAGTAGTGTGTGCTCCCAAAATGAGTGTTAGGAGTATGACTGTGTGTGTGTGTGTGTGTGTGTGTGTGTGTGTGAGTGTCTGACAGAAAGTTAGCAGGTGGGGAAGGAAGCTGTGAAGAAAAAGCCTTCAAACTAACAAGAGGCAGAAAAGGAAAGGAGTAGGAAAAGACAGAACAGCAGGAAAAAAGTGAGTGTAGGGCACATTGTTTGGACACAGCCCTGAAAAAATGGCGGCGCCTTTTCAAAGGCCTGAGATTGTGAGGAGGGGTATTACTTTTAGACTCAGATGAGTTCAGAAACAAGGACTGGCTGCCTATCAGGCTGGACTTAAACAGTTCCAGTTACCAGGCCATTTACCTTTAGAAAGGAGTAGGTTTATTATTTTCCCCCCAACATTGCCAATGGAACAAAACCTGATTTACCCTTCAGTAGAGAAGAGTACTGTACAGACCAAGTGTGAATACATACCAAACCAACCTGTCAAGAAGAAACTGAATCCTTGTCCAATTATGCATACAATATTAATGCCTGTTAATAAAACAATCATAGAGCTAATACAAATTACTTTACTACTTTACTTTACTAAAGGGGAGACGTCCAAACTGCATTTGGTTAAGACAAGGAAAGATTGTGATTTTGGTTAAATGTTAAAGAAAATTTTATATCACTGTCACTGCTGACTGTAGTCATTATGAGTGAGTATTGCAAAATTGCCTGTTTTGGCACAAAACAAATGTAATACATTGTCAGTGAACCTTTACTGATTTGTGAACTTATTATTTTCATTATACTGTTGATAGAAAACGGTTGGTATTTGGTTAATTTGGTTGGTATTATGTTTCCCTCTCATGTATTTGCTATTGCAAATTTGTTGTACGTAAGTGTAATGTATTCATAGTTTTGTTAGTTGATCATATTTCTTTTTAATAATTTGAATATTCTTGAATTGCTTTTATTTGTGAAATTAAAAAAAATGTTTTTTCATCAAAATATGGTATTGAAAAAAGTAGTGTTTTTGTCTCAAAATTAAAACTCATTCAACTTTATGCAGTTTACAGTTCTAGCTTCCTCCTGTCTCACATGAAATGATGTGTGCTATATTTCCAATTTGAAATAAACACAAGAAAATGTAAACATTGCCAGCAGTCAATGTAGTCAAGAAGATGGCATGCAACCATGGCAGCAGTCTGAATGAAAGGTGATTTGTGGGAATAGCCATTTAGAAATCATGGCCTATAGGAAATGTAGCATCTTCAACCCAAAGCCTAAAAATCCATGTTTGGTTAACATGGTGAAGCCTTACGGAGTGTGTTTCCTGCCCCAGCCCATCACCTGCAGTCTCCTGCCTACACAACTGCTTTCCATTAGTCATTAGACACAGCATATATCCACTCTCTTCGCCAACATGCACTCATTTGCCTGAACTCTGACAACTGTAACTTTTTATAATCCCATATCTTGCAAATACCTAGTTAGTTGGTTAGTTAAATCAACAAATCCTCATACACAACACTAAAAGCAGTAAAACCCACCGCTCATGGAAAGCCCAGGCCAGAACATGCAAATCTGCTGGGTGTAGTTCCCATTTTAGTCTAAAACCACAACATTTATCTGATCAGGGGTGAGCACTCATATAAAGTTACTGCAGTAAATGTCATTAGCGTGTATATTCAAATTCACCTCGTTGGAACAAAGTGTGTATTTTGGCTTCCAGGTGACAAAACCTGTTCAGGGTTAGTTTATCAAACACGCCTGAAACATGATTGATCACCATTACTGTAGCCAGCAGAAGCTTTTGTGCAGGTAACAATGATATTCTTACGGGGTGGAAATGTCTCAGTTTTACTTCTAATGGTTTTATACTTGTAAAGTTTTTTGAAGTTTGTTGTTAAATTTTAGAACCAGACTGATATGTGTTTTGTGAGACTAATTTAGAGGGGGAAAAAATCACGGATCACTGATATAGTGGCCAATATAAATAATTTTTCTTTTATTATTAACTATTGTTATTTAACATATAGGCTACACTGTCAACAAATTCTAGAAACTGAGAAAATAAAGAATAAATGAAAATAAAATATATAGCTAAACATCAGTACTGTAAAAAGTCTTTTGTATTAATTGCCTGAAAAAGACAATACCAATATGTGTGCAATAGGTATAGATAGATAATATTGGCCAACCAATATATCAGTCGGGCTCCAGTCAAGGTATATATATACTGCAGATTTTTTTGGGCAGCTTTTATTTGATTTAATATACATATTAGCTCATCATGCAGACTTGGTTAATATCACAGATTTCTCACACAAGTTTATCCACAAGCATTTACAAGAAAGAAAAAAAAAGAAAAGAAAAAAGAATTTAATAAATACCATTAAAATTCTAATAAACTAATAAGTACCTATACATATAAAGTGCTTTGCTTCAGAGCAAAAGTACGTCCTTATGCTGTCATAAATCTATTTACTTTGGATCATTCCAGTGCGTGGAGGGCACTAAGTCACAGCAAAGTAAAAGGACACCTGGGATATTAAAAAAGCAAACAGTATCTGTATTGCAGTTCTAAAATCCAATTAGTTAACATTAGTCATTATATTATCAGGCAGATTTTGCTCTCTACTCTCTATCAACCACCCCCACCCTTGCTCCTCTCTGACTAGCAGTGACTCCTTAATTGGGGCTCAGCTGACAGGTTTTCCCCTCAGGGAGCAGGAGCCTTGTGGGCCATCTGCTTGTAGTCGCAGGATGAACAGGTTTCCTGCTCCCCGCCGCCTGCCTGCACCTTACTAAGCCTCTCCAGCGCAGCGCAGCACGGCACAGCAGTGTAGCTACTGTTTACACAAGATAAATCGGAGTAGTTTTGTTTGACGTGGGTGCCATTTCTACCTCAAACAAAATAGGAAACATATGGAAGTGCCACCAAATCCGACAGAATGAGGAGTAAGTAGGAGAAAGTAAAAGTGTTATTACACTCCTGAGTCAATTTAGGTATTTCTGTTTGACCGATGGATTTTGTTTAATATGCATTTCATCATTCTGAAACCCACATAATCTAAAAAGACCTAAATTTTATTTGTACATTACTTACCTTACTTATGAGTTCTGCAGCAAAATTGTCATTTCATTTTAGAAAATAGTCTAGCTATATTAAAATGGATGAATGTATTTGCTTATTGCTTATCTAAGGTATGAATTCTACTTTATTAGTGTTATTTAAAAAATATAGGACATAATTTATAAAAACAAATAATAAACACATAAATTATAGTGTTTGTTTAACCACATTTTGGACCCGTTTTTGTTTATGCAATAGCGTTAGAAATGCTTACTATATCAGTGCCTAATCCACACCTCTATATTAAAATATATATTATTTATTCCTCTACATTATTAAAGGCATTGTGTTTCTCACTGTTATAAGTGTATCCCTGCAAAAGTTCCAATAAAATAAAGGGCTAAAAAACAGTAAAAGGAATGCTCACTGTTTGCTGTGCATTGGCAAGAGTGTGGCAAAATGATTCAATATATTGCGATACTGTAAGCACAGTCACTGCATTACAGCCCTCAGCTATCTAGCAGATGGGGGTTTAAATACAATACTTTATAGTGTTTTTGAGAATCCATACAATATCACAAAACAAAATATCATGATACAATATTTTTCAATATTTTCTCACACCCCTACGTACTATCTAGGCTTTTAATGTGTATCTTTGTGCCTGTTTTCAAATGTGCAAAGTGCCCATTAATCAGTGTGGCTCAGAGCTCATTTAACACCAATGTCATCATAAGCAGAACTTTTCCAGAGTGGGACTCCATACATCAACACATCTGTTATACAAACTCCACCCTAAAACACACTTTCACAGAAATCTCCACCAGGAATTAATTCTAGTCCAGTAAGTAAGTGCAACCACTTAAATTTGAAAAACTGAAATGATCCACCCTTCGGCTCACTGGGTAAACACCAGTCCAGGCAGCATGGATTACTCCAGAGAGGAAGAGGTAGTCCAGCTGGTATCATCCACACACACTTTACAGGCATAATGCTGTACTAACAGCCCCCGCACATGCTCCTACCTATGGAGAGGGAAGCCAAACAAACCAGACCAGACCACATGGTGTGTGTGTGTGTTGAGTGTGTGTGGTGTTTGCTTGTGTGTGTGTGTGGTGTGTGCGTGTTTAGGAGGATGGTGACAGGTGTCACCAAGGACTTTTGAAGGCACAAAAGGTTGGGGCTTAGGCCAGTGCCCTCTGGGTCCTTAAGGAGGCAAGGAAGGCATTGTGTGGTGTTTGGTGGGTATGGTGTGTTGCTGTGTGTGTGTGGTGTCTGCGTGTTTATGGAGGGATGGTTGACAGGCGTCACCAAGGACTTTTGAAGGCACAAAAGGTTGGGCCTTAGGCCCAGTGCCCTCTGGGTCCTTAAGGAGGCAAGGAAGGCGCATGAAAACATGCTGCCCACACACACAAGGCTCACACCACCTGGCCTGGGTTTCTGGCAGGGCTGATGTTTGGTTGTAATGCTGAAGATGGAGTTTGGATTCGCAGGCTATTTACAAAGCAAGACACATTGCCTGAGATTTACAACATACTCAGGCCAAGTAAATTTCCACAGAACCTGGTCAACACCTTTTGGGAACTGTAGGGAGGGACGTAGGACCGCAACTAGGTACATGTTCATCGATTGAATTATTTCTGGTCTTAATCTAACGAATTCATCTGTAAAAATGTCAGAAAAGTGACTTAAACCACACAAATATATTCAATTTACAATCATTTAATACAGAGAGGGAAGCTGCAAAATGTGTGATTTTTGTTTGAATAATGACTGGAACAATCTACTAATCATTTCAGCAGACGTCTTAGATTGAAAAGAAATACTTTCAGAAGCAGAAAACACTGCTATGACCTGCGTTTTTCTGTTTTACAGTTAATGATGAAAAAGAACTTTAAACTGTATTTTTAGTTAAACAAATGTTTCAGTATTCCTGACATTGCTGGGATTGCTGAAGTGAAATGCGATTTCGGCAGGTGTGTCAGGGAAATTCTGGGAATCTGGAATCATGGAGATACTTTGACGTGATTATGAGAAAGCAATGGAACCGCATTTAGCTCTACTTTTATGATGAAATGTCATAGCTTATACACACACACACACACACACACACACACACACACAAACTCACAGCTCCCTGATTAAGTCATGATAGATCATCCCCACAGGGCCTGGCCTTTTGAACATGCCTGCATGTGTCTGTGGTGTGTGTTCGCAAATATTCACATTTGCATACATGCTGTTTCATGATTGTGTGTGTGTGTGCGTATGTACGGCCATGTGTCTGACTGCAGGTGTGTGTGAGTGTGTGTGTGTGACACTGGGGCGAGTGCCAGGTCAGTGGGGTCAGAAACAAACAAAAGAACGGAGCAGCTCCCAGCTGCCGGGCCAAACGTCACCCAGCAAACCCTCCGCCCCCCCACCCCCCTTCTTTTTCAATGGGAGCGTGCCGCTCTTCTGCTTCTGCTGACACATGCACATTTACACACACATGTCCCATCCGGCGGCCCATAGTCATGTCTAGAGCTTGCTGCAGCAGGCAAAGGGGGTAAAAGGGCATATGGGGACATATGAAGAGCATGCAAGGATGCAAATGCACAACACAGACTAACATCTGAACACACATCAGTGCTTCCACTCAGATATTTACAGGATTTTGACAATTTCAAGACACTAGCACTCTTTGAAAACAACAAATATTTAGCAGCCTCCCTGTACAGATAAAGAATGTTGCATGTTTCCATTGCTGGACTCCCACTTTCTACCCTCTACTGATGGTATGGTGAAATGCTAAGAGCCTAATTCAGACGATTCAGATCTCCCACTGAAACATACAACAAGGAGTGATTATGAAACAGTCTAAGGTTAAAACTGACGCTTCTGAACATCACGCAACTACAAGGTAAAGTCCTCGACATTATACCTCAGTTTAAAATACAGAGCTTTTTAGCCTCAAAATGTACTTAAAATATCTAAATGAAAGCATCTATTTGATAAATGGTCCTTTTATTACCCATTGAAATCAATGAAACAAGGCAGTAGAAACAATACCGCTTTTGTCCACAGGGGGCGCCAGAATAAACACAAAATGAAAGGTTCTACTAGGGGCTTTAAGTCCAAATTATAAGACATATCATTTATGTATTTGGAGGTCAGCCTCCCTCTAGCTTGATAGTTGCAGGCTAACAGTCGGTGACATGATCGGTGAAACTTTCCTGTTTGAATTCTATCTAAATAGCAGTGGTTCAGACAGACTTTAAAGGGTCACAAACCAGGAAAATCTTCACACAAAGAGCACATTTTGCTTTAAATGTTCTATTATCTGAGACACATGTTTCCAAGTGCTTAAGTGTTAATGAAGAAATGCTTAATAACAAAGTATTTACATCACCACAGCTCAACAGCCACAGCACTGCAAGAACCATTGATTGACCCAGTATGCATTACTCCAATCTGACTTGGCAGGATATACAATGAGTGTTGCTTAAAGGGAAGAAAATGTAATCACATAATTCTGAAAATAAAATGAACCTTTTGAAAGTCGTTTGTTTGTATCATTGACTGAAGTCACAGTTCAGCTTTGCCATCATCACAGAAACAGACAAGCCACACTCACCTGGAAGAGTTTCAGGATCAGCTGTTGAGGGACCATTAACTATGACATAATGACATGTAGCTGTCCAAAGGTATAATAAGGTAATTGCTCTGTTTCAACAGTCAGAACAACCACTTTGCATATAAGTAAAAAGAACAGTGTGTGTGTGTTTGGGAAGAGGAAAGCAAGCTGAACTTGTTCAGTCAGGATTGTTTCATTAAACTCAATTATGCCACATTTTCAACGAATTATTTTTGCACACAGTCCTCAAAGGTTTTTAATTCATCTGGCACCCAATTCCTATTTCCTAATTCCTTTTCATCCTTTTCAGTCATTTTTCCTGCATCATTTGTTTTACTAATATAAGATCAATACAGTTATATCTTTACGGGTCTTTGTATTAATTACGTTTTATTTTATTAAAATCCAATTCATTCTTTTTGACTCCTGCGCTACATCTTTATGGCAATAAGTCGGAAATATCACTACTTACTTTGACAAGACATCCATTCCGTCCTGAATTAGTCCTCCATCACACACTAAAAACCCGTCCCGAAAGCTGCAGGAAGAAGCTGCCGTTTGAATAAGCTGTAGTCGGAAAACACCACATTCAGCTGCTTGCTGCATTTGTGTGTGAGTTGAAGGTACATCAGGGTAGAGAGTGTGTCCAACTTGTACCTGCAAGACTGTCTCCACCCAACGGCCACGAGCTGTATCGGTCCGCGATGTGTTTGTGTGTGTGTGTGTGTGTGTGCACGCACTGTATGTAACGTACAACTATTCTATACACACTACTGTAGGAGGGGCAGATCTCGAGGTGGTGCATGGCAGGTGCCACCCTTAAAAACAGCTGGCCACCTCAGCTGCCACCACAGTCTGGTGTCAAATACTGTCAAACTGAACACATTAAAGGTCCAGTGTTTAACATTTAGGAAGATCTAATATTCATAGGTATGTTTGTCATTAGTGTATAATCACCTGCATATAGGAATCTTTGTGTTTTTATTACCTTAGAATCTGCTGAACCACCATGTGTCTACAGTAGCCCATAATGGACAAACTAGCACTGGCACTAGATAGGGAAGTTTCTCCTAACAACCTGTTCTCATTCCCAGGTCAACAAATACAATACAGACAACAGCAGCGGCGATCAGTTAGTTGCAATCTTCCAATTCATCGCTAGATGCAGCTAAATCCTACACACCAGTCCTTTTAATTTAAAAAACTGAAATTAACACATAATTAAATGAACTGTTATGGCCACAGTTTAGACTAAGTGATAGGCTTAAGATCAATTATGGCTTAAGACATGTATTTTGAAAAAATACATACAATACAATTTAGACATTTCCAATGCTTTACTAATGTGCCACAATAATGTAATGTTTCTGAGTTCAAATATGAATTAAAGCTGAGTTCCATTCAGTGTAGCAGAACCTTTTCAATAAGCTATCATACACAGCAGCAGTACCCTGACTAATGCAGATGTTGCCACTGGTGAAAAGGCTATGCTGAAGAAATAACACAAGAGGGAAATCATTCATCCTCTGAACCTATTTGTTAAAAAAGGCATATTAACAATTTGTGTATGTTTTCATATCTTTTTAAGGAAGTCAATGCTATGATGAAAGCTCTGTTAACAGAACTACTGCATCATATTAAAACACTTCTCTTATGGGGAACATACAGTAGCAAAGAAATCTGTCTCCCTCTACTGGATCCAAGCTGTAACTACAGTTAGACATTTAAATAGTAAGTCAAGAATATGCTCCAAAAGGTAAAATAATTGTTAAATAAATTGAGCTGGGGAAAAGGGTGTTTACCTGCATTGTTCTGTTGTGACAATGTTCATGAACCTGAGTAACACCTATGATTCCTGCATCAAAGATGTGGAAACATTTGTATCTCTGTATGACATTCTTACATCACTACATTCCTGATTGAATGTCTAACCAATGAACCAATTACATGTTGCCATGACAATAAGGAATATGTACATGAAACCATAAGCGACTTCTATACGATTTTTGATGTTACTTACTCATTAAAGAACTACACAGCGTCACATTTAAAGTTAAAAAGGATGAAAACACCACAGGTCCAGAATCAGATAGAAGCAGACACATGTTTGTAACTGAGTTAAGGATGCTGGAAAGAAATTGTTCAGTTTGTTTTTGCTTCAGCTTTTTTAAATCACAGATTCATTTATCTTTGATACATCTAAATCCACATACAGCGGTTTTGAAGCATGCACCCAATGATTTCTTTATTTTTGTTACACATATCACACTTAACAGTTGCATGCACTTCACTCCTCCATTTACACATTCTCCCTGCTCCAACGGAAACACAGACCTTCATCTCATCAAGTAAGTTTAATATTGTGGATATTACAGTTTTTGCAAAATGCTTGATGAAGAATCTGGCTCATTGTGTCAACATGGAGTTCAACATCTCACTTGAAATGAAAGAAAACTAAATCTAACAATCCCTTTTCAAATAGCATTCTTGCAACAAATGATACACTTCTATACAAAACACTGCTGTCTTAAGTAGTTTCTCATGCAGGTTTCTTTGAAAGATACAGTACGTCTACTCACCTTTCAATGAAGACAAAAAATGGAAAAGCTTCAGAAGAAATAAATATATACAGCTTATATTTTGCCACGGCATTACTGGTTTTTACGACAACAAAAAACATTCATGAAATTTCCAGAATGTTATACTTGAGCTGAAGTGGAAAGCCGGAGGACCTTAGGATTGTTAGGCTGACCTACTTATAGTCTAGAGCCTTTACACCAGTTTAACGTATTATAAGCTCTTGTTGGAGACCCTGTTACAAGAGAAAACAATACAAATTCAGCTAGTTGATGACAATTAAACATTTTTTTCAATCTCTTAATATAAAGGTCAAATGTTTGAAATCCTTCCAGTGCACTCTCATGATTACTTTTTTGATAAATATTAAAACGTATTTCGTTTTAAAATTTAAGAGGACATCTCCCAAATGTCTTCACTTTTGCCAGATGTATAATGGTGTAGACACACCCTTTATTTACTTTCTTATGCTCTACATATTTATATTTATGGATAATTTATAGTTTATGTTTTTCTATTTTATCCTCTGTGAATATTTATTTCTATATTTTATACAGTGTGGGGTAATAAGGATGTGAGGACTGAACAGATCCTTGAAGCTACAGTAAACACACGACTGTATCTGCATCATTTTGACATGTAACTGTCAAAATGCCTGTGATTTTCCCCACACATCTGTAAAAAGGCTGTGATGGGACTGGTGTGCGTTTCCTTTTTCGGCACATGCTGCGTATCTTTCATGTAACCAAAGTCCATCCGGATTTTTAAATAATAGCAGACTTTGTACATTTCATGGCAGGTATGGCAGGCATCAGGTATCGCACTCTCTTCCAGAAGCGTGAGTTCCACGCGGCAGCGCCCCGCGAACCCTCTGGCCACCTAAGGGGGGCGCTCTTGCGAATCAGGTGCTGCAAGCCAGGGGGGAGGTGTGTGTATCCTTCTGGCCCAGTGTCTCCCAGCTGTATCAGAATCACATTCATTTCCCTCTGGATCAGCGCGTGGTGGAGCCCCACCTAGAGAATGATCAGTAATATTTTTTAACCCCTGAATGAATGAACACACTGGATGTTTAGTTGTACAAATACTTTTTCGTGTAGAAATACAACTTCATCTTACGTCAAGATATCAAACAGTTCTCTTACAATTGATTTTCTCCTTATCTTGAGATTTAGATTTTTTTATTTTTTGGTGCGACAATTACTTTTTGGTCAATTGTGTACAGATAATTGTTGGATTATGCTTTTTTAATTTAAGATTTTAAAACCTTATTTTTGTCACGGTCAGTAGCTTCTCCCTGGTGTTCCTGTCTCTGTCTGTCTGTGTGTGTGTGTGTCACTCTCCCTGGTTGCCTGAGGACCTGATTACCTGCTTACCTGTCTGACTGCTCAAACCCGCCAGCCATCAACTCATCAGTCCTGCAGTAAAAACC